TGCATTCAAATTTAATCTACCCTAGTCCGAGGTTCACCCCACCCCCTAATGTACAGCAGAGCGGTACCCACTTTTTTTCATTGGACATTTTAATAAGATACTTAGGTAATGTTATTATATTACATTAAACTTTAATCAATATTGCATATTTTAGAGTCGAACAATATCTCTAGTAAATTATTATAATCGAACTAAGAATTTAACTAAATAATATGTAATAATGTATTATATCTTAGTCGGTGATTATTAATCTACGAGTATATTGTAGCCTAATAGAGACCATATCGTAATTATGTATAAGATATATTGTATAACTTATAAATACTTGATATAAGTAGGTATGTTATAAATGCATAGGAATAAATAATGTTTATTTTAAATATTGAATGAATCTACCCGTATAATTATACAATGCAATTACCACTAATTAAAAATATAACAAGAATAAAAAAAAAAAAAATTCAATTTATTTTTATACAAAATGCATTATATTTTAACTAGATAAACAAATAATTATACTTTTAACAAATTACGGCTATGATCTATACAAATATTGAAATTTTTACATTATAGATAAAGATAATATAATATTGTATGAAGTAATGGATAAATCTTATAAACTCTAATATAAAATATACTCTCGAGGAACGCAAATGTTTTACAATAAAAATCTATGAGCTAATATTGTGTAACAAATACAACTAACAACAAAGTTTTAACGTCACACGAAATAAAATATAAATTGTATTAGTATATCATTATATATACATACACATGGTGTGTGATGGCTTTTATTTTGGTCAATATTTTCTCCATGAATCATTTTGAAACCATATCGATTGTGTACAAGAAAAGAATTACAAAAGTTTTAAAAATGTATACTGAGATCATTAAAAATCAAAACCTATAATGTGTTATAAATTTATAACTTATTTTCCGTCAATTTTTTATGTCTAACTTATTATTATAATTTATTTTTTTGGCTAAATTACGATATTTACATAATTCTATGATAATATATTTCAAAATATTAAAATCTATTAAAAATATTAAAATTTTTTATTTAAGTAAATAACACAAATAATATCAAATAATAATATTCGATTTATTTTAATATTGGTAAATGAGCATAACTAATAATTAATTTTGCTAATAATTAAATTACTTATTGTACAATATAATGTTTAAATATACCAAATTATGCAAATAGCATATTATTTTGAGAGATTGTTTTCATGATGATATATCGTAATGATAAAATTTAATAATTTTGTTCCTTAATTTTTATGATTTTAACATACTTAATATAACATTTTAATATAAAATGGAATGATAAATATGTATATTTCAATTGATTAAATTGCTTATTTTCACCGATGACGAATGTACGAATTCGATAGATTGCACTGATTGCAGTAGGAAAATACGCATCAACTGCTATGAGTTATTTCGAATCATTATGATTATAAATGATTACTTTAAGTTTGGCGTTCATCAATATGCATGTAAATCCATTACATTGGTGGTATAGTTTATACTAACGTGAGTTATGATCGATTCCGTTAAAATTCATAGAATTAGCACATTACAAATTTACTACAACTATTTGAACAATAATTTACGTAGATGCGTTTGCTTAGGTAATAAATAAATCTATAGTTGAGAGGTATAGGTATATTATCAATAATTAAATTTTAAGTATACAACTGTTGTTTAATACTAAAATTATATAGGTAATCAAGGTTTAAACATTTAAAGCACTGAAAATTTAAACATAAAATCGGTTACAATAAGTTATTGAAAATAATAAATAGGGATTATGAATTAAATTGTTAAGTATTTAAAGCAATCAGAATTTTGATTTTTTTAAAGGGCGTGTGTATAGATTTTATTGGTATAATTATTGACTTGTAAAAATATATGTAATACTCCACCGGTAGAAACTAAATTTACTAACTGATATTATTGAAAATAAAAACCAAATCTAATTTTTTAAGCATAATTATGTATGCAATATTGGTATAATAAAAAATGAATAAATTTAAATTTAATTTATCAATTATTATTAAATGTATTAGTGAAATAACAGTATTATGCATTATACACTTAATTAGAATGAACGTTAACTTTACATACGTATTACTAACACAAAGTACGACACGATAATAATAACAACAACAATAATAATAATAATAGTAAAAGTGAAACATTTAAGCAATATAAATGATAGCTTAAGATATTTAACGTGTCGTGAAATAAATTTTTTCCTTTAACTGGAAAAAACAATGTATCATTAGATTATTTAAGTTTTACCTTGCTTAACGTTTAAAGATAAAAATAATAAAAATTAAATTAGTCAAAAAGCAATATTGATGGTAAGGTGCACTAATTTATTAATTAAAATAATTTATCTCTCCTCTATATTCAAGCTAAATTAATTATGTCTGAAATAAACTAATTACCAGCCTGCAAAGAGACAATTTATAGGTTTTATTTTATGATTATAATTTATAAGTATATCAATAATATAAAACACAGAGTCAGGGGAAATGAAAGAGAATTTATCAATTGCTTATAAAATTACCTTTTTCTATACCAATTGCACTCGTTTTGATTTTAGCTCGATAGATCAATTACGCTTTTTTTTAAATCAAACCTGTTGGCTAAATAGCATTCAACGGTAATTTAAATACAGTAAAACTAGCTTAAGACGCTGTTTTTAGTCGGTCCCTAGACATTTCCTATACTAGTCAATGTAAAAATCACCTGTTAAGACGCTCAGTTTTTCTCTGTCTAATCGGGTAAAACGCTCTTTTTTTCAGCAGATTACGATAAATTTTAGTAGTTTTGTGAAAATAAAAATAGAATTTTTAGTACTATACGTGTTCTTATCGTTTTATTTTATCGCTATACCTACCTATTTTATCATTACTTATTATAACAGTTTTACTGTATTTCATCGTCTACTCCTACAATAACTACTGGTTTGCAACATTTATCGGAAATTCGGAAAGTATTATCCTGTGTTGAAAATTCCGAAGAAATGTTAGGTTGTCTTAATAAAATTGAAAACTTTCTTGCTGAAACACATTGTCAGAACCTTAAACAATCAAAAATAGATCATTTTTTTAATAAACAATAATAAAATATGTATGTAATAATAATATTTTTTTAAATTAAATTCGGTAGCACAAAAATATAAGTATGTATGTATATTGTAATTATAATTAATTTATAAGTGTATTTCTCATTAAATTATGCTTAATAATAAAAAATAAACTTGATATTTCAACCACATCATTTTGTTTCATTCCCGCATAAGACGCTTTCCCGCATAAGACGTTTTAGAGAGCTGGTCCCTTAAAGAGCGTCTTAAGCGAGTTTTACTGTAACAACAATAAGTAGAATAATAAAAAAAAAAATGCATTATTTATTTATAAATATAATAAATATAATATTTTTTAAATTTAATCAGCTATTAATTTTCGTAAATGATTTTAGTTTGTATATATTATTAAGCAGTAAAAATGATTTACCATTTTCACTGAGGACTTACTTAAAACGATTCATATTGTAACATTAACCAATTCAAACAAATACTAACAAAATAAAAGTATTGGCCAACATCAATGTGTTATTCTATTTAGGTACAAGCAGTATTATAAGTAATGAAACAATTTGATTAATAAATATCTGATCATTAACGAAAATTTATTTTCGTCTATTATTCAAATGCATATTTGTGTGCGTAAATGTGCGTAATAATAATATTTCATAAAAATTCCAGATAATGTTTTAAAATATATAATCATTATAAACAGTCACTTTAACCAGAAATCAATTGATCAATAAATAAGTTTTGAATAAGATTGAATAACAATATTTTCAAACCTATAGGTAAAACAATTTAAGTACATGCACGATTATTTTTATAGTATATTTATTGTAAAAATAAATAGCATAATTGACATATTCAACATAAAAATAAGGAGCAAAATTGGTATACTGAACTTAAACTAAAATTTTGCCTTGGAAGCAATTAGTCCATGCCCAAATAAAATGAATGTGTAATGACCAAAATTGCAATGAATTTATAAAATTGTTGGAGTGGAGCAACATAAAATATTATTTTCATAAATTGTTTAAATAATATTATATTATCTGGTCCATTATTGAGAGTTTCTACATAGTCTTCTAAAAATTTAATTTTTCAGTTATCATTTAAAAGTACATATATTTACTTAAGTTCTTATAGAATTTCAATGACAAAGTTATATAAAATTAATAAATAATAAAATAATGGCATTATAGATTATTATTATTATAAATATACTTTATTATAATATAATATCTAGTAATCTAAACATATTCTGCAGCAACCTGTATATTTTATTATAATTACCAGCTTTAAAAATATATTTTGATTCAATACAATATATTATGCGTGTTTAATATTTAGTTTGTTTGGAAAATTATTATTATAAAAATCGAATTGCAGAAGAAAAAAACTGTATTAAATTAATATTTAAAATAAAAACTACACTTTATCAAATTTACATATTTTTACTATTGACATTTTGTATATTTATTGTGTGAAATTGTTGTAGTGACCAAGATCAAACGTATGACTAGTAAAAGTAATAAACATAATAAATACACAGTATGCGTAATATACATGTAACGTGTCTTTTATTATATTTATAATATTATGTTTAATATCTATGCATATTTTAACATTTCTAAACAATTTTTGAAAAATAGTTTATATTTAATGTAAAAAAAATTAGACAACTATTGACGACTTTCAAAATGAACAGAGAATTTTGTATAATATATTATATTCTAAAAAAAGTAGGTAATAAAGAGAGTTAAAAATAGAAAAAATCGATAAATGTGGTTTTAAAAATATGAAATTCTCTTACAAGTGTAGTATATTTGAAAAATAAAAATCATAAATAATAATAAAAAAATCTGATTCTATTTTTTGTAATACTACCGTAAAACTATATATTATAGCCAATATTAATGATCGATAAAAAACGACAACTAGACGAAAACCGTTATGAAAAAAAATTGGATTTGTGGAAAGTTACGAGCGTAATGCGTCCCACCTTTTTTCGTACGCCACGCCAAAGATGATTTTTGTTTTTCAAGGGTGTGGTTAAAATCGTCTCCGTGTTAATGAAAACTTCGGGAGTTTTACGTCGAAAAACCGAAATGCATTTCCGACAGTTAATTTCACCCCCAAAACGCGATGCCATGATTAAAGCGAATCGTTCGTCGATAATCATACAGACGCGCATCATTCGGAAACTGTCGTTGACGTTGGACATTCGTCGATGACGTTTATAGAACACTCACTGCCGGCGTCGGACGTGTCCTGCAGCTCGTCGGTAGTGGTCGTGGACGACACCCGACTTCCGGGTTCATGTTGAAGGTACGCCGCCACTACCGGACCGTACTCGTAACAATAATACGGAGCAGCAGCGGCGCCGGGAGGAAAGTGATGTAATCCGTTGCCGAAAGTCGATTGGGGGTGTAGGTAAGTTACGGAAGTGTGTTCATCGCCGCCACGGTGGAGGCGTTGGTGATGTACTTGGCTTCTGTGTTGGTGCAGTTGCTGTTGCAATAGTTGTTGCATTCGATAATCTCCACTAGCTGCCGCTGCAGCCGCAGCAGCCGCCGCAACAGCCACTGCACCCTGGGACGCGTGCCTGGACGACTGACGGTGATAAGCCTCAGCTGACGTCTGGTGTACAGCCTCTTTGGGACTCTCATCGTCACGGACTAAGACTTTGACCGCCACTCTTTTAGCTGGTGGGCTGCCTCCGTTACCAATACCGCCTCCGGACGGCACTTGCAACTGCTTGCGCTTGGTCTTGTATCGTCTGTTCTGGAACCATATCTTTACCTGAGTCTCGGTCAGCTTTAGCGAGTGGGCTAAGTCGGCACGTTCCGGACCAGATAAGTAACGCTGCTGATTAAACCGTCGTTCCAACTCGAACACCTTCAATAGAGAGTAAAAACTATATCGTTAAATTTTGAATTGTGTAAATATTATGTATATATAGATAATGATTTGTTTAACTTTATAGTAGCTTTATATTAGTTTCATATTGTTTTATTTATATTAATAAGTATTTTAAGTTTATATGAGTGGTTTAGTAGTGGAACCAAACCTTTTTGGGGTAATCTGGACATTATTGTACTACATTCATCTAAACTTGAAATATTCATTTACAAAAAAATAAAACTATTTATTCAATATTAATTAATTTAAAATTCATAGAGCATTAAATTTTGGATTTGGAAGTTTAGTAGGTGTATAATACTGACCTGAGTGTGCGAGAAAGCGGCTCTAGACCGTTTTTTACGTTGTTGTATGTGCATTGGCCTTTCACTGTGAGTTCGAAGAAATCGTGATAGTGCACTTCGATGGTCACCTGTTCGATTAAATATAAAGTCGCCGTTACCTAAAAGTTCGATTCTCCTTCGGTATTCAATATCGTGGAATTTAAGATCATCTGAAACATGTTAGTAAACTATAAAAATATTATGTTCAAAGAAGTGCTAGAAAACGTATCGATGATTCCTTTACCTAACCAACTTAGCTTGACATTCGAAGTTCAGGGACAGGGAGAGGGACCAGTTTGGGTAAATATGTAAACTTACCTAATAAAAACCTAAATACTTAAACTATATTTAACCCATACCTAACCGCTAAATTAATATATATTAATAATTAAGTTAAAACTGCACATTTTCTTAAAGTTCAAATTCCAAACGTGGAAGTATTGTTTAATCTATCTATTATCTAACCTAAACAGGATCACAAAACTATTCAATTGTAAAATATAATAATCACTTCATAGATTCAGAAACCCAAGATTAACCCATGTTTTTTATTATTGAGTCTGAGAAATAATAAAATTACAAAAACGGTGATATGCTTCAATAGGTTAGCCATGTTTTTTTAAAATTATTGTCTGTATTATAGAACATTTTCGATCGTATGGTACTAGTATAGAAAAATAGAAACAATTTTACGGCTATAATACGAGTACAGTTATCTAAACACGATATTTATTATTTTCACTGTAATAAATGAAAAATACTGTATTTTTTGGTTACGTATCTCTGGGAAAAATGAGTTAAGTTAATTCTATAAACCTGAATCAATGTGCTATGTGTATATTATTAATAGATAAACAGATAAACTCATCGCAAGAGCAATTTACACTGATCTAATCCATCCATATCGAATATAATTCCAACTTAACCCTATATCACATAAAACAAACCTGACCAGTATAGATTACTACTCACGTACATCTAAATTCTAAATGCATATTATATACTTATTTTAACTACTTTGTAAAATCAATATTTTCATGATCACAGTATGAAATACGAAAATATTTCATGTAATAGTGATTTTTCAAGAAATGATCCCTCTAATTCAACATCGAATAATTTTTTTCACAAATAAATAAAATATTTACTGCACACAAATATTGTTTTCATTAATTTGAAATATTACTGTATTAATTACAATTATAGGATTAGGGATATCTTACATTTCCGTGTTGTTGTTTTTTGAGTTAGTGTAATAAATATAGTTTTAGTATTCTGTGTAAAATAGAGGATTTGTTTCATGAAAATTCAAATGAAATACAAAAAAATCTTAATTTTATGTGTGTGAAGAAGATGGTTCTATTTCATGAAAAGATAGGTTTCGAAGTAACTACGATAATATCGTTAAATACCACAATTGGGAAAAATATAACACTATCACCGCCCCTTTTGTATCCTTAGTTACCATCGAAATACATAAATATTTAATGCAATCGAATGTAAATAAATAACGTAATTCAAACTTAGAACATTTTAATAAAAAATCACTAAAATCTACTGCTGTTATTAGTTTTAGTAATTTAACCTCTCTTATATTTTTATCTAAAATAACGCTTTAATATCTTAAAATAATATAGTTAAATATTATGTATTTTTTATGAAAATTTAGTAGAATTTATGACTTTTTAATTTTGTCAGAAAATAATTGTACATAGAATGCAATATCACAGAATTAAAGAATTATAATATATTTATTTTATAATTTATAGGTAAGTATTTAGTATTTTATAATTAAAACATAATTATATTGTCGATGCTAATTTAAAAAAATTAAAAATACAATAATATTAATATATTATTTAATTCACATTTCTAGTGGTACGTAATAAATAATTATAATGCAGTGTTCAATTTAACAAAAAATGGTAGGAGTATATGGTTTATTATTGATTTTCTTTCGTTAGCATATTACTAGAATTCGAATTACGCACCTACGTGAATATGTATGCACATATGTGTAATAATGTTTTTAGAATTCTAGTCGGACAATTATGTTTTAGTAAATTGAAGTAATTGAATATAACATGTGTAATTATAAAAGTGCATAATATAATGAATAGCGGTAGGTATCCAATATTATAATTTATAAGTATATTTATATAGGATATGAATAGGTGGTAAAAAAATGTTTTTATTTGAGACGCAAAACACTCTGTAAGCAGGATACGATGTAATCACAAGTAAATGTACCTATATAGACACGTATTCTTATGAATTATAGTACCTATTGTAGTTATGAATTTTCGCGGCGAGGACTGTCGGGTGGTACGTCGAAAATGTGTCGCCGGCCTCTCGTCAGGTGTTTGCTATATACACGGCAATATTATAACAACCAATGTTAGCATAACGATTTGTGTACCTAACTTATGCACGTATAATAGGTATCATAACTGCGGTAACGGTCGCAACGGCGGCGGTCGTACAAGCCCGTGCCCAGCGTCGGCTAATAGCGTTAAAAGGTTTTTATTATTTTTTGCCGCTTCCCCAGTATGAAATAAGAAATGACAATAACAATATAATATGGGTAATGTAAATGATGTGACGTGACACTTGCACCACTTGTACAGGACCCGTGTTTTTACCTTGACACGCGTACAGCACGCGCCGTTTTCCTTTTTCTTTCTCCGTTATAATACGCCGTCGTGCCATGTGACTCGGCTAATGGACGGTATGGGTGCCTAATCCGTACACATACGAAAACTATTACAATACTATTATTGTATTAGTCAGGTTTTTAACGCACTAGACCAAATAATAAAACAACCATTAAGTTACATTTAAACATGTTATGTACCTATACCACGCGTGGTATTATTTTTTTTTTCCATTAATTGTTTACGGACCCAAAAACGTCCGCTGCTGTACGTAATAGCTAAGCATGTACAACGTGCGCAACTGTAGCTGTAATAGAAATAAACACATTCAGTGGGGAATCGGTTATGTTATCGAACTCGACAATTTTCTCTTTACCATATATTATTTGCCGCTGCTGCACATCGATCTCACATGCATAAACGTAGGTACAGATATTCAACAGAAATAAACGCACTAATATTTTAGTTGATTTATTTAAAATTATAAAAAACAAAATCTTTTATCGAGCAACTTATTAGTATATTATTAGAACGAAGTTATGATGTGTTCTAAATATTACAGTGTTTATCCGGAGCATTTGATACTTAAAATGAGCGATATTGTCGATTCTTTCAGATATTCATCCAATAAAAGCAATATTAATTATATGCCTATAGTGTTTTGATATATTTTTTGATCCCGTTCAAGATTGATGTCGACACTGTCGCTAATTTATGTGCAACAAATATATTATTATAAATGCCGATTTGAAGCACACGAACAATACAATATAATATATACAAATAAATTATTAAATAATTAACACGAAACGCACAATTATTTATCGACATAAAGATCACTTATTATAGCTCCCTCGTTTAGTCCCGTATTATATACTTATTATTTCTAATTGATTTGAGCTGTCACTGTGGACGGTAATCAGATATCTATGTATATCTATATAATATATATTAAACGATGCGTGTATATAATACTTCAGTCGGTAAGGAGGTGGCGTGGCAGGAGTGTGTGGGGTGTCGGGAGAGCACTCACCACGAGGCTTCTGTTAATGCATCGCACTTGACTTCCAAACAAAATACACGTATATATAATCTGGTTCATATATATATATATAATACGTGATCCGTTTGTTTGCTCGTCTTGTGAACGGGCTCTCCCGCAGCCGTCACCGTTTGTTTACCTATACGGGACATAAAATAATAATATATTATATTATCAATTGACCCCGCGCGCCACCTCTGTATTATACAGCCTCCGCGAGAACCAGTGAAACCACCCTTTAAGGGGCGAGCGCGCGCACGTTCAAGTGGATAATCACGAGCGCGAGTTCACGCGCGGACGGACAGATTCGATCGAAAGAGTTTCCACGGATCAGGAGCGAATAAGAAAAAATACGACGTGATGGTAGAAAGCGAGAGATTTTATCACGGTAAAGGGTGTGGATGAGACAGAGAGAGAGAGAGAGAGAGAGAGAGAGATAGAGAGAGAAATAAAAATCAAACTATGATATCATTATTTACGTGGCTATATTATCTATATTATCTACTGTGATATTATGCACGCTGTGAGCAACAGCAGTCATCCGGTTGAACACAACGAATAATGTTGTACAACAGAATCACGGTGTATAAACACACATTATTATATTATTATGTATAAAATAGTCATCAGTGTTGTAATGAGTGATGCTTTAACCCCGGTCGAGCAACCGCGTTCGTGATTTACGTTGTATTCTCACGGTTAATTTTCGTTTCTCGATTGTTTAATACATAATATTATAATATATTATGTCTGTGTACGATATTATTATATAGTCCGCTACTGCTGCATCGTCTCCATATTTATATCATTATCGTTTTAAAATGCGTATATACTCAAAACCCCACTGGTCCGTTATTATGATAGTTTTTGACCGTCCCGCGTAACGTAGAAACTTAAAGGCAATAAAGAAATAAAACGTTATATCTTGAGTATATAAACTTGTACATATATATTGTATTATATTATGTAATATTATAATATACTATAATACATTTTAATATACACAGAATTGATAATCCGATCAACCTATAAAATTTCTAGCTGGAAACAAGTTGTGTTCGGTAGATATGATGAGATTAAAATATGTAAATTGAAAAATAATTTTGTCCTTCACAAAATATTATGTGTATACAGTCGAATTCGCTATACCGTATGTGTATTGTTACATTTTATAATCCGGATATAACGATCAGATTCTCTTGGTCCCTTGACGATCGTAATAAGCAAATTTTACTGTATTACATAAGAATAGCGTAAATTTATAATAATAAAATAGACAAATAAATATACATTTCTAATTACATTTTGTCTTTTTTGTCAATTAAAAGTAATTAATTTTGATCTCTCATAAAAAAATCATCACTTTTAATTCATTAGTACTGCATAATATAGGTAGCATTGTATGATAGAAAATTGCAATATAGATGGTAGTAATAACAAAGTACCTACAATACAACGAGAATAATCATATTATACAAATGTAAAAGCTAACCTCCAATATATACACGTTGGTAATGTTAAACTCTTTGCAGTATTTAAGTACAAATATTTTTGTGAAAAATTATTCTAAACACTTTCAAGTATCATGAGTTAAGTGTGGCTATAGAACTTTTGTTTTAAAGTGTTGATTTATTATTAAAAAGTAAACTATTTATACACTTAATATGTCTTATACCAAATGCATTATTAATGGTACATATTTATCTATATGTTTATGAATACCATTAAATGAACAAACGTTTTAATTCTGTTTATTTATTCTTAAATTAAGAATTATGTTTACATTAAAACACGAACGTTTTAATTTATTCTCTTCTTTAGTAAAATGTTAAAAAATTTTCAGTCAGAATGCACAATAATCTGATAAATTAGTTATATTATACATTATCAAACATAAACATTAAATACAATGAATTAATCAACAATAATATGGATATTGAATAAAATATGACAAAATAAAATTATGTAATTGACATTAAGTGAGGGTGGAGATAATATCAATGAAACCATTACCTATACGAATTTCTACATTTTTATGTTTATTAAAGGATGTTGAAGTTAATATTATGTGTAGAATGATTTACGTATTTTAAAAAAAATCTAATTACACGTTATACTTATTATATGGCTATTTAAGCATAAATAGACTGAATATTTATTATTTAAATGTATTTTATAAAAATCAGTCACCTAATTGTGACTTATTTATGCAGAATATAAAATAAATACAAAATTAATAGATTAATTACTTAAAAAGTCAATAAGAATTTTCAATATTTTATCAAAGAGATATTTTTATGAATTATTTATTTAACTTGATCAACATTCAAAATATTACTTTGTACAACAATTATGAAAGACAATTTATATGTACTTATATTTCAAATATAATAGTACAACATGTTTGTTTAAAATAAAAAAAAAGATGGTTAAATCGTTTATTGCATTAATACGAAAAAATAAATATTTTATTTTATTGTTATTATATTTATAATTTGGTAAGTATTATCAAATTTTCATTATTAAATTTAAAATATCATAATAAAAAATAAAACTACACGTAGCAACAAATTAATTGGTGTTAAAAGTTCTCGAACGAATATGTAAGGTTTACCGAGTGCTTTGAGCTTTTAAGTTTTTGAAAATAAGAACAAAATTATTTCTAGATATAACAGAAATTAATTACGATCTTCAGTATAATATAAGTATACCCAAAGTTTTTTTTCTGGTTGTTAACTGATTTTCACCTTGTTCGGGTCAACGAGATGACGAACTCGATGAAACTGACAAGTATTCAATAACGCAATCAACAGAACAAACACATTTGATATCTTATAATAATGCTGCAGGTACGAAACTTTAAAAGCAAATAAAAATAATATATTCAAACCATTAGTAAGTAAGTTTTAAAATATTAAAGTATAAAAAGCACATTACTTAATAAAAAATAAATTATTATTTGAGCAAGATTCGTTTAGGTATACGTAATCAAATCAAACATGTAACTAGATAAATAAATTAAACATGATAGTTATACATCGTATATATAATATACTCGTATATTAATTCATCGGTATAAAAAATAAACGATGAGTATATAGAAGCTACAGTGCTTCGACACTAATCGGCGATTAAAATTTTATTCAATCGAAAACGGTAACCTACCTTATAAAGAATAATGTAAAATTATTTACTGAGTGTGCTACCCCCATTTTTCTTCCTTTATAAATTAATTTCAATTTTCATCTATTGAATTTTAAAGTGTATTTAAAGACAATATTTTCAAATTTCCAGATTTGAAAATGGCTTTTTTAACTGTAAATTTATTATTGATCAGTTTTTTTTTTTTTTTTATTTAGATAAATCTAAATTGAAATTGGAATAGATATTTTCTGAGTTATTTATTCGGATCTAAAAATAATTATTTTACAACAAGTATAAAAATATTGTATAATATGATAATATTTAGTTTAGTAGTTGTAACCTTGTACTTAAACATTTTTCACAATCATGAAATATTTATAGATTATAAGTTAATTGTTGAGAGAGTATCAGTGTAATATTTGATTCCCTTCTCAAACCGATGCGTACATTGACAAAACTCATTTATGTAAACTCATTTTAGATTAATTTTGAATCATCTTAAAGTAAAGTTACTATTATTACATAAATTATAGAGAATAATAATAATAATATATTTGGAGGTTTTGTAATTTGTTTATTGAACTTTATATTTGATTTTAAAACTATTTTTTTAAATTGTTTGTTAATTAAAATAGATTTTAAATTTTTATGAAACAATAATTAAATACATTTATTTCATAGACTTATAAACTTAAAAATATTATACTCTATAATTTGCATACTGGTAGTTGTATTCAAAAATTAATTAAAAATATAAAAAGAAAATAATTCTGTGTGGATGCGTTTTATATATGTTTTGCGTGGTAAATAGAAAAAAAAACATAATGCATTGCTAACATCTTCTTGATATTAATTGTTATAATTTTTAATTCATCATAGTTCTCATACCTTTTAAATGCATTACCAATTCTAGAACTATTAAGTTTAGTTTTTTATAAATTACTCGTTCAAATTTGATTGTAGGTCTTTTAAAATATTTAAAAATTAATCTGCTTGCACATTATCAGTAAAAGGGTGGTTCTTACATAAAAAAAAGAAGTTGAAAAATGCAAAACGTTTCTTAAACTATATGTAAGGCAAATGGATTTGAAAATATTTTCTTTTTATTATATTCTTCAAAATATCAAAAATAAGAATTTTAACAAATTTATGGGCAATGAAAAAATGTAAGCAAGCTGGTGTTATACGAGTATAGTTTATTTTAAATAAATGAATTACAGAAATTTATCCAGCTCAAAAATTAGCCTAAAAATGGGTATGGCTTCATACATAATTATTATAGTATAAATTTAAAATCATTTTTTATAAAAAATAATCTTTATTTTTTAAATGTTGTTAATATGAGAATTGTTGAGAATTTTGGAAACCGTATTAATATGAAATGATGTAATCCATACTATTTTTATCATATGTATACTGTTAATATAATATTTTCGATGGACGGCGTGTGAAACAAATTAACATTTTTAAATGCATTTTCTGTGAAATTAAAAAATAAAATAAAATAATGAATTAAATTTGATAGTAATAATTATTATGTTATACGTAATATATCTAAGAGCAAAGTTTCATAAAATCCCGATTATATTTAAAAGGTACTTGTAAATATCACAACAAAACTTATTCTGTAGAGGAGGAGGAGGGTTACATTGTCTTCCCGAAAAATAACTGAGCAAATAAATAAATATTATATGATCATAATATGTAGGTGCATAAAAAAAGTCTAAGTGATGTATTTTTATACGGGGATATCCCCTCGTTCGTCGTACAGTGAAATTATCACATCGGTCACATGTTTATTGGCAACGATAAAATATATTATAAACAATAATACTTAGTATGATAGGTATTGAACAATAATATATACCACAGAGGTACTACGACTACTCGACTGTATGCATGTACTTGCCTTTTTTGTCAGCGCACTTATTATTGGTCATGTCCAGTGCTCCATCAGCGCAGTCCTTGGCGCTACGCGCAGCAGGTGCCGCCGCAGCGGCGTCGCCGTCTCCATCGCGGTCCACCCGGTCATCGCTTTTAAGGATGTCCGCTATGGAAAACGGAGTGAGATTCTTGTCCTCGGTCATCCGTGCGGAGCGGGCGCGCGTCTATATGGAATACGTCGTCAGTGTTATACCGCACAAATTTGCAGTAATTTTTACCGCGTTTGTGTGCACTGTCCGCCGTCAAAGTTTCTCGGTTTCGGCAGACCGCAGATACACTGCACGTACGTATGTATCCCGAACGCGACGGAACGGCCGGAAAATCACGAAAATTCGACGAGTGTAACGTAATCCCTGCGGTGTGCGATATGAAGACTGGGTTTTCGCGGTCTTCCTGACCTTAAAGCGTGCGCCGGAAATTCGTTCGCAGCAATATGCGCCCCATAAGATATTATGTGTGCAGTAGTGTCGTGCGGAGTGGTGCGGGCGACCGTTTCGATGGTCGTGTCGTGCGGACGGCGTACGACGAACGGATGACGATCCGACGCAATGTCGCGTCGTATATATGAGCGCGTGTGTGTATCGTACTTAGGTGTGACGCGACAGTGTGCCGGCAAAGGGTCTCTGCCGTGGCGGGGTCGAGGAAGGGACCGGCCGCCCGACGACGGGCCAATGGCGAACGCGCTCTAAACGCCCTCCGACCGCGTAACCGCCCGCCCAAAGTTTCGACTTGCGGTGAGTGTATAAGTGTAGGAGACACGGATCGGTCTCAGGCCCGAAATCCGTCGTCATAAGCAGAAATACGAGACTATGCTATGTGGTTTATACCGTACTATATTATATATATATATATATACATAATACATTAGATCGCTTAATCCGCGATATAGCTACCGTTTGTGTGTGCTATAAATAAAACAATACATCTCTAATATCGTATTTTTATCGTTAAAATATGAAATATGTAGAGCTGTGGGGTTGCTATATTTTTGTTTAACATCGTGAAATGTACACCGTTGAGTATGTTATAATATTATGACAACCGATTAAACCATATGGATAAAAAGTAAGCACAGTTTAATAGTAGGTAGGTACCTTTTGTAGATGATTAATGCATAAACGTTAAAAAGATTTAAGATTCGAGATTTCACGATACGTGACGAGGAAACCTTATGATTTATTTCAAACGGTATGTGGTTTTGTTGTATTATTGGTGTACTTATTTATATATATTTTTTTTTATAGAAAATAAACCAAGTATAACCTAACTTTGGTATAGTTTATGAATGAGTTTATTAGCTTATGGGCATACATTTTTATATTAAATATAAAATATCTTACTAAACATATACAAATATAGTTTTATAATTATACTGTTACCTATTTTAATAATAATTAATCTATTAAAAGAAAAGTCATTGGCAAATTACAAGATCTAAATTAATTTAAATTTATTATAAAAATTAATTAGTTAGGCTATAGTTTAGTTTATTGTATTATTTTATTCTATTCCATTGTCAAATTATTACTTTTCTACGTCGAAAAACTTCTAGGCATAAGTATTGATGCATTTTAAATTTATTTGTTTAATTGTGCATTGTCAAGTTTTAGTACATATCGTCAGTTATTACTTATTATCCAAACAATATGCGTCCATAGTTTTTATGAATTATTTTTTATAGATAACAATACAATGTATACTAATTATAAAGTTACTTATCTACAATGGATGCGTAACAAAAAAATATATGTATTGTGTTGTATAATTTTAAATTAAACTGTACATAAATATTGCTTTTAAGAACTAATGAATGCTCTACGTGTCAAATCATACAATATACACAAATTTAAAATTTAAATCAATAAATGATGAAACAAAAGATTTTACAACCGATTAAATAATCATCCAAATCAATTAATAAAAAACTTGGCCACTCCCACAATACCTGGAAATCCTCCGAAACGTTTTAAGCATAAGTGGTGTCGTGATTTTTTAAATTAAATTAAATAACAAGCTTATAAGAAGCGTCATCAATGGGTGGCTTCTCTTCAAAAACTCATGACCTGTTAACTCTTATCACGTATTCTTATTGTGTCTAATATAATTTTATACAGATTTTTTATTACATGTAAAAATAAAAAAAAATAAAAACTGTACATTATCTATACTCAAGTAAGAAATCCAATATAAACACAAAGAGTACAACTGAACACTGAATAAACAAATTATATAACAGTGTATATATATATACCGTTTATATTGTGATTGTGATACATACTATATATATAATATATCTTTACGGAAAAGTGCTGTGTGTGGGTTTCATTCATTATTTTATTGAAAACCTAATGTTTTACTATATCATCAGCTTTATAGTATATTATTTTTTTATCATTTCGAAATAGTCAAATTATAAAAATGAATGATCACGGTTTCTTCTATAGACACACACACTCACGCACATATATGTTATATTATAATAATTTTATCATGTATAAATTGTACTCAAAAGTGTTTAAATATTAATTTTATCAATAAAATAAAATCATTGCAATGTTATCAAGATACTAAACTAATTTGATTTTTTAATATTAATTTGCAATTTATTTATTAATATACAACTTAACTATCATTTTGTAATGCACAACGCGTTTAGAAATAAACATATACATTTAATACTCAATAAGTTAGTTAAATTTAAATAGATTTAAATATACTTCATTTTATTTTTAATCTACAGAATTGTACAATTTGTAAAGTAAAGTTTACAATAAGTACAAGTGAAAAGAGAATTAATATAGAAAAGACAAAATAATGATAATGTAACAAACAATAAGTTAAATTAAATCACAATTATTTACATCAATTCAGACAGTGGGCTTGAGTGAAGAGGCCATCCATTCATGGAAATTCTTGACATGTGAGGAGGGGGTAGTCTAAAAGTAGATCACGACACCATGTTCGTTTTAGGCGCCTTCTGGGTTATCAGTAATAGTGGGGACAGATAGATCCGAAATCAAGGGGTTGCGATGATTGTGGATATTGGAGTGTATGCGTTTATAGTAAGTCTTGGCAACGCTTTTTACTGTTTGGATGAATAGATCTATGTGGAGAGTATCATTAGAGACATAAAATGGGGTTTTGGTTATTTGTCGTAGGCATTTGGATTGGAAGGATTGGATTTTAGTAATATTGATTAAGGGTTTGGCGACCCCTATAAATGAATGCCATAAGTCCATATTAGTTTAAGGAGTAATTTGAATAAAATAAGTTTATTTTTAAGATTTAGATGTTTAGATGTCAATAGAAAACGCAAGTGTCGGAACCGATTATTTAGAGCAAGCTGTTTGGTATGGATATGCGTAGCCCAGGTTAGCCGGCGGTCTAGATGGAGACCTAAATAGCGAACGGTTTGATCAGATGGGAGCGGAAGGTGATCAAGGTAAGCAGGAAGACAATTTTTTTTTAATTTATAAATATAATGTTATTTAAATTAAAGACTTTTTTTTATTGGTGTACGAATTTAATTCTTTAAAATATATAAAGGTGCATATCAGCATATTTTGCTAAAAAAATAGACAATTTAATAACATTTACACCAATTATTATTTTTTTAAGGTTAAATGATAAATTAATGAATCATTTTACTACTGTCCGTAAAAGTAAAAAAATAATAATATTAATATAAAATAACAATCATTATTATTATTATGAATATTATAATTATTAATTAGCAAGTACAGATGTCAGAGGCCGTTATAAAAATTATTACATATTTATTTATATTATCGTTATTGTACAATTTTTCGAATTTTTTATTAGATACATGTATCAAACATATTTTGTGTCCTCCAATCAACTTTTTAATCGCTAATGTTAATGTTTGATAATTTAATATACAATAGACGTTGTAAACTTTTATGATGGATAAAAGTCTTTTTCTCTGACGGTTAAAAAAAATCTAAACACAAACACTGAAGATTTACATAGCAATATTATATTACTTGTACAGTCGTACCTGAAAATAACTAAAATTATTATAATATTTAACATTAAACATTAATTACATAATGCTTCGATGAAAATCTAATCTCATACTATATAATATTAACAAATAATAATATGGTTATAGTAGTATTGTACTTTACTTTCTTAGATGCATATAATTAAAAAATAAAATACATTTTGTATATTTATAGTATGAAATCATTTTCTTGACTACCGTATGTTTATCGTTTGATATAAAGGAGAACGATTTAGTCGAAGGGTACTTTCTATGTTCTACGGTTTCGATGAATATATGTTAACGTAAACAGTATACTATTTCCCGCATAAACATAACATATTATAATAAAGAGGCACTGAAGTTACATAAACCATGTACTTTTACTATAACAATTTTTTTGTCTATAAAAATATCTATATCCCTACTTAAGTGTTCAATATTTCTTTTGAAATTTGTTAAAATTAGAATTTTATACAAGCGATAAAATTTGTCGATTTACGCATTTTTTTTGTATCACTTAATATTATTATACGTATAAGTAATATTTAAGTATAACTCATAAGGATAAGCGGTTATAAATGTTCCGAGATCGTTGATTTTAAAGCTATATTATAGTTATATAGTTTACATAGTTTATTAATTATATTATTAGTATTTAGAGTATGGTTAATGGAACAAGTATAATTAAAAATGATGAGATAAATTTCCATCTTCCATATGTGATTTATATACATATATCTCTTTAAAAGTACTTGAAAATTTTACAGGATTCTTAGATATGTGTTTAAGAGAATAAACTAATGTACATATCGATGTATTAAACATCTCTTATGATGGTGCCTAATTGCAGTGGCTTAGAAAAAAAAACAACAATGATCATCAGTCAAAGTGTTTTGAACACACTAAAAAATCGCCAGCTGTACATTTTTAACCGGACGCACTTGTAGGAGGTTAGGACATTCCGTCTTAAACCAAAATAAACACTCGAGTGTTAATATATATAGTACAATATAATATATTATCGGTGGACCATACGATGTATTTAACAAAAAGCAGTAGGCGTAATTGGTAAATTGGCATTACATATATATTTTTTTCTTTTGGGATCCTCTTGTGAACATTATAATAACATTTTGTAGTTCAAGTCATCAATAAAATCGAATGGGATGAAAAAAAAAGTATAGAGCGTATAATATACATAATATTTTTATATACGTTGGCGGACTGGGCGCGAGCGCGTGATTACAAGGTGACGTGCAATTATGCGGAAAATTTATTGGCCGAATTTGGCGGCACACGAGAAAAGAAACGGCAACTTTTTGATTTCGTTTAATTAAAGTCCTTTTGATCGAACAAAGTTTAGCGGAACGAACGGGAAAATAGAAATAAAAAAAAAAGCAAAAATGTAGTTATACGCGGAGAAGAGGGCAAAAACATTTTTCTCGATCGTCGAGTTTCTTTCGCGCCCGAATCCTCCGCCACCACTCGTTACGACTATCTTCGACTGGTAATCGTCTTCGCTCGACACACAC